AAATATCTCACTTACGATATGTTTTTTTGCACATTTCAGATGAAAAATCCAATGTTTACTTTGGCAAATCTGAAATATGCTACTTAGGGTGCATTTTACTGTACATTTCATTTGACAAATTCACTAGAGGCCGCTGTCTACATTTTGTGAATCTAATATAAGTTACTTAGGATAGGTTTTGTTGTACGTTTCAGATGACAAATCCACTAGAGGGCGCCGTCACACATTTGTGAATGTAAAAAAAGTTATTTAAAGTTAGAATACGTTTCTTTTGTTGTACGTATTTGTGGGTTTCATGAATGAAGGTTTAACATCTATGCAAACTTTTCATTCAAAGTACAGCTCTTTATAGTGCAAAACATTCATTACAAAATGCACTTTAAAAAAAGCTCTTTACAGAAAGCTTCTTTGTGGAAGCTCCAAAGCTGTATTTTAGAGCACCGAAGAAGATGATGCTCCCTATGTAGCCAGCAGACAGACAGGTGTGAGTGAGCCAGATGGCTGAAGAGGGAAAGAGAGATGCACATTACGCTGGAAAGTAAAGCAGAAGGATGAATTAAACAAGCTGGAGCAGCAATAACGAGCTGTGTGATCATTAACAGCTCTAAATATTAGCTCAAATGGGAACGAACAGATGAGGTAATGGGGTGTCATTCACATAAACAAGGATTTATGCAGCTATAAAGTAAATAAGGCATATTCAAACACACAAAACACTCGCGCTCTGCGAAATCTGTGGTGGTAGATGATCTTTGCTTAATATTTTAGTTTAAAAGCATAATAAAAGGCACTTTTTAAGTAATATTTTAAATTACAGTTTATTACTGTTGATAATTTACATTTAAACTCTGGAAAACTTACAAATTTACACTGAAAACCTTTTAAGTTAATCAATAAAAATGTAAGGTTATTTTTTTTTTATAAAACTGCTTTGTCCATTTACAGTAATTTACTTTTAAAGTACAGTTTTTACATTTGCAGTAAATAAGAATTTACGTAAAACTTATTTTTACAGAAAAAAAAACTCACAACTACAACAAATCTCTAAAAAAAGATTCAAATCTACAAAAAAAGGTATTTTGTGTTAAAATTAGTTTTGTAAAAAAAAAAAGTGATAAATATTATAATATACTTGTAAGCTCTCCTGATGAATTTATAGTTCTGTTGTAATTTTTGAAATTTTTATATTTTTTATTATTAATTCCAGCTTAACTAAAACAAATAACTCTGTATTCAGAAGAGAAATATTATAATAAATACTTTGAAAAAAATGTCCTTGGTCTGTTACACTTAACTTAGAAGATATTTGAAAGAAATAAATTATAATTATTTAATTTATTTGATTAGCTGAGGGCAAAATTATTCAAATATTTCTTTCTTTTTCAAATATTTGCCAAATTATATTTAACAGACCAAGAACTTTTTTTACAGTATTTTCGATAATATTTTTTCGTCTGGAGAAAGTCTTTTTTGTTTTATTTTGGCTAGAATAAAAGCAGTTTTAATTTTTTTAAAAGGCATTTTAAGGTCAAAATTATTAGCCCCCTTAAGCTTCATTTTCCCAGAAATAAAGGTACGTGAGCTGTCACTGGGGTGGTACCTTTTCAAAAGGTACACATTTGTACTTGAAGGGTCCATATTGCTACCTCAAAAGTATATATTAGTAACACATTTTTAGAGGAACACTTTTGTACTTTTTAGGTAAGAATATGTACCCTTGAGGTATTAATATGAATCTTTTAGGTACAAATTTTTACCTGTTAAAAAAAGGTACCACCCCAGTGACAGCTCGTTTGCCTTTATTTCTGCCTGATCACCCTAATTTTAACCTAATTAACCAAGTTAAGCCTTTAACTACCACTGTAACAGTGGCAGGGAACAATTCAAAATAATTCATTAATATGTGTAAACAATGAAGAAAAATCTTTGCCGAGGTGGGATCCAAACCCGAGTCTCTTTGGGTTGAACCTCTGCGATATATCCACTCGGCCATGTGACATTCTCTAAATTAAACTTATTCCCACCTGTATGTTGATATGCTCTATTTCACCTCGGAACCCTGCTGAAAAATCCAGCTTAAACCAGCCTAGGCTGGTCAAGCTGGTCTTAGCTGGTCATCTCCCAGCCTGACCAGATAAGAACAGGCCGGAAATGGCTGGAAACCAGGTTGGAAATGGTCAAAACTCCTCTAAAACCAGTCTGGTCGACTAGCTAAAACCAGCCAACCAGCCTAGGCTTGTTTAAGCTGTTTTATTCAGTAGGAAATAATTAATAAATAAATAATAATATTAATGACTTCTGCACTTAACAAATTAATTAACACACAAGATTAAAGTAATGAACTGTTCGGGCGCCAGACAGGATTGAAACTTGTCCAAAAAAATAAAAATAAATTATATATATATATATATATATATATATATATATATATATATATATATATATATATATATATATATATATATATATATATATATCATACACACATCATACACATTAGAGAAAAAAAAACAATCTGTTATACACAAAAAAAATGGGAATAAATTATCAAACAAATAAGATTCAATTTAACTCTGGTTATATTTCTCAACAAAACTGACAAACCACAAAACACAAGAAATCTTCAATCAACATCTTATAACACACTTGAAGTCAAGTATTATTTTATTTTACTTTCAAGAGGGAAGAAAGAAAGCACAACCAAAACAAACGTATGAATCACTTTCATAACAAGACAGTTTCCTGATTTGACAACAGTCCCGATCAAAAGCAAAAAAACAAACCAAAATAATAAACGAGCATCAACGTGCAAAATAAAATACCCCCAAATTGTATTATTCGACAAAATGAGCTGAATACTAGTATCTTGAAGAATATCTAGTCAAATATTATTTACTGTCATCATGGCAAAGATAAAAATAAATCAGTTATTAGAGATGAGTTATTAAAACTATTATGATTAGAAATGTGCTGAAGAAATCTGCTCTGTTAATCTGAAATTCTGCCCTTAACTGTACATATACTGAATAAAATGTTTCTGCAGCATAATATTTGCCTGGTCTGGTGCAATTAATGTAGCTCTATTACATCCCACAGTAAAGAGTATTCTGATGTTTGTTTACTCTTCCAGCACATCACTAATGACCGGTTGACAGACGCCAGCGTTTTATATATATATATATTCAGATGTGGTTTCTGCATTTTAAAGAGAAGACTGGATACTGTGAGTGCGCTCTGCTGCTTCTCTTTTTTGGCATTTTCATTTGATTTCCATAATTCCTTTTCTGAATCGAGTGCTTAAACAACACGGGCAACAACATGTGCAAAGAAGTGACACTGTCAGCCAGCATAATTCACCTTTCAGTCCCTGCAGGCGACTGCACATCAGCTCTTCACTGCGCTTCTATATATTTCCTCCATCCAAACTGAGAATGATTTTTAAAATGAAACAGCAGCAGCAGCGTTAAAATGAAATACAGCAAAATGAAAAAGCACAGAGAGAATTAAGAAAAAAAATGCAACGCCTCAATCATTAAGAAAAAGACAAAAAAGAAAGTGTTAATGTGGGTTTCCTCCGGGTGCTCCGGTTTCCCCCACAGTCCAAACACATGCGCTATAGAGGAACTTAATTGGCTGTAGTGTATGAGTGTGAATAAATGTGTATGGGTGTTTCCCAGTACTGGCTTGCAGCTGGAAGGGCATCCAGTGTTTAAAACATATGCTGGATAAGTTGGCGGTTCATTCCACTGTGGCGACCACTGATGAATAAAGTGACCAAGCCGAAGGTAAAGGATACCGGAACGCCTGGAGGAAACCCACACCAACACGAGGAGAACATGCAAACTCTACACAGAAATGCCAAATGCATCGTAGAGTGTGACCAATGAGTCAAAATTTCTATTAAAATTATCAGTATTTTTCAGGAATTCTAATTCATATTTCATTTATATTTTATAATTTATATTTTCTATAATTTTAAAATAGATTTTCTCAGTATTTAGATTTTGTTTATTTAAATATTGTCCTGCCATAACAGACTACACATCAATGTAAACTTGTTTATACATTTTCAGATAAGGCATACATTTCCCAAAATATATTCTCATGACTGGATTGGTGGTCCAGGGTCACATACCTGTCAACATTGAGATATGAAAATAAGAGATATACCCACCATAATAAGGGACCCCCCCCCCCCCAAAAAAAAAAAAAAAAAACCTAAATTACTAAATATGCTCATTTGGAGATGTTTCGTTGTTTATAACCTGTTAAATAATCAGTGTTTTATTATTATTTACAAAATTAAAAAATAAATAGTATACATTAGCAGCAAATATATTAGCAAACAGTTCAGCTTATTAAAACTAATAGCTATTATAATGAAATAGAATCAAGCTATCAGATCTCATTAGCCGTTTCTTTACTGTATAACTGACACATTCTGATTTAAGAGCAATGAATAAATGATTTATTTAGATTTTTTTTCGATTGATTACATTAAATAACAGAGGTGTCACTTTAAAAATGCACACATCTAACATTATAATAAAAGCTTTCGATTGCTTTCCCAACTTTTTATGCTCATTTAGGACAAAATTACTTGTGTTTGAAAAAAAAAACCCACCAAGATCAACATCTTTAGATATTATTCTTAGTTATGTGTATATAAAATACCCAATACGGGATGATAGCGGGATAGAACTGTAAAATACGGGAGAATCCCGGGAAAAACGGGAGGGTTGACAGGTATGCATACATGTGGATAAATTGTTAAATACACTTTTTAACCCAACGGTTGGGCTTGACCATATTTGATCCAACCAAAAAAAAACTTTATAAAAGATAAAAAAACTTAAGAAAAAAAAAAAAAAAAACTTGAGTCAACTCAAAAAATCCTTACAATTTAAGATTGAGTCAACTTTTTTTTTACAGTGTGTGTAACATCCCTGCATCGTCCAGAGTGTGTGCTGTGTCAGATCAGCAGGTGTGTATGAACTCACCTGTATGGCGTTGGTGACATTCCAGCCGGCCTCCCAGGTAGTGATTGTGGCGCTGTGTGTGTTTTGAGGCTGGTCTGGATCCTCTGGGCTGGACGTCTGAGACTGGCTCCTGTGGTCTCCATAGGTCTGTCCCAGCTCGTCCCTCAGCACCAGACCCTGGCTCTCCTCTGCACCTGCGTGCAGACGCTTTAGCCAGGACAGCTGCAGATGGGACATTGCTCCGCAGTGAGTGTGGACACACAGAGAGAGTCTGGGTCCTGCTAAACCCTGCTGACGGCCAGTATGAGTATAGAGTTTCAGACGGGCCACACGTCAGTCTGAGAGATCCAGACCGCCGCACCGGTGAGCAGGAGTGGGATGCCTGTCCACTTAAATTGGCCAACGGCAGCACAGAGGAGTGCAGGACTGACAGACCGCTGAACTGTAACATTATAATCACTCCAATGCCTGTGGATGTTTGTTTAGAGAATGATTATGGCATAATAATAACTTTATTATCATGGAGAGCCTTAAATAAAGTTTCCCCTGGTACTTTATAGAATAAAACAAACTAGTTCACAAAACCTAGGGCTGTGAGAAAAAAAAAAATTTTGATGCAGAAACGAGGCCCTAAAAGCCTCGTCCATTAAGACTGATAGCCCCACCCTAAATCACTGAAAGCCTCGCCCTAAATCACTGAAAGTCCTGCCCTAAATCACTGATAGCCCTGTCCTAAAGGACGGATAACTCCACCCTAAATCACTGATAGCCCCGCCCTAAATCACTGATAGCCCTGCCCTAAATCACTGATAGCCCTGCCCTAAAGGACGGATAATTCCACCCTAAATCACTGATAGCCCCGCCCTAAATCACTGAAAGCCCTGCCCTAAATCACTGATAACCTCACCCTAAATCACTAAAAAGCCCTGCCCTATAAGACTGAAAGCTCCACCCTAAATCAGTGATAGCCCTGCCCTAAAAGACTGATAGTTACACCCTAAATCACTGATAGCCCCACCCTAAATCACTGAAAGCCCTGCCCTAAATCACTGATAGCCCCGCCCTAAATCACTGATAGCCCCACCCTAAATCACTGAAAGCCCTGCCCTAAATCACTGATAGCCCCATAGATCACTGATAGCCCCACCCTAAATCACTGAAAGCCTTGCCCTAAATCACTGATAGCCCCGCCCTAAATCACTGATAGCCCTGCCCTAAAGGACTGATAGCTCCACCCTAAATCACTGAAAGCCCTGCCCTAAATCACTGATAGCCCCGCCCTAAATCACTAAAAAGCCCTGCCCTATAAGACTGATAGTTACACCCTAAATCACTGATAGCCCCACCCTAGATCACTGATAGCCCCACCCTAAATCACTTAAAGCCCTGCCCTAAATCACTGATAGCCCCGCCCTAAATCACTGATAGCCCTGCCCTAAAGGACTGATAGCTCCACCCTAAATCACTGATAGCCCTGCCCTAAATCACTGATAGCCCCGGCCTAAAGGACTGACAGTACCTCCCTAAATGACTGACAGTCACACCATAAAGGACTGATAGCCCCTCCCTAAATAAATGTAAACCCATCCCTAAATCACAGACAGCTCCACGCTAAATCACTGACAGCCCCTACCTAAATGACTGATAGCCCCTCCCTAAATGACTGATAGCTCCACCCTAAATCACTGATAGCCCCACCCTCAGCTTTTTGGTACAGTCTGTAACTTCGCTGGATTGCCAACTTTGCTATAGTATCTGAACGCAACGGCCGTCCAAAACCTGCTCCATAGTACAGGTACTAACACCACAGTACAGTTATTGAGTACAGGTATTAATTCTCAAGTGTTATCCGACAAACACACACCGCTTCACCCCTAGTGGCTTCTGTTGATATAGCAGCTCACAAAAACCTTGGTTTTATTTTTTGTAATATCAATTTTAAATTCATAACATCTTTTTGACACCTCATGCTTTTACTCCACATCATAGGTGAACCAAATGTTAATTCATACAGTTGAAGTCAGAATTATTCGCCCCCTTTGATTTTTTTTTCTTTTTTAAAATATTTTCTAAACGATGTTTAACAGAGCAAGGAAATTTTCACAGTATTTCTGATAATATTTTATCTTCTTGAGAAAGTCTTATTTGTTTTATTTTGGCTAAAATAAAGCAGTTTTTAATTTTTTAAACACCATTTTAAGGTCAAAATTATAAGTCCTTTTAAGCTATATTTTTTTTCGATAATCTACAGAACAAATCATCGTTATCCAATAACTTGCCTAATTATCCCTAACCTAGTTACCCTAATTAACCTAGTTAAGCCTTTAAATGCTGACTGTGGGAAAAACCGGAGCACCCGGAGGAAACCGACACTGGGAGAACATGCAAACTCCACACAGAAATGCCAACTGACCCAGCCCGGACTCAAACCACTGATCTTTTTACTGTGAAGCAACAGTGCAAACTACTGCGCCACTGTGCTACTCATAATTACAGCACTTTTTCTATTATGAAAAACTTTTAGAAACTAAAACGTATAAAACTAAAACTTCTTTGCAGACAAGAAACTTTAAAACAGGAGCAGAATGAAGATCATTTTCAAGAGCATGCAGAATTATATTCATTTGCATTTTGACATCCCCTTTGCAGGCCTGTACCCTCAAATATGGGCGTGTCAGCTGACAGGTTAATAAGCCTTTCAGTCAAAGAGAGAGCGATGGCAAAGAACAAGTCTAGCAATATTTCTGAGATGAAAAAAAGGAGTTCTTAACAACGCATCGCTCATGAGAGTCAAAAGACAGATTCGAATCCAATATAACTTCTTCCTTTTTTAAAATGCAATTCTTAACTCTAAAACAGAGCCGTCGGTGCTTCAAATAAATGAAGCAGATTTACCAGGCCGAGGAGCTGAGCAGGACATTATTAAAGGGATAGTTCAGCCATAAAATGAAATTATTAGCCCCCTTTGAGTTTTGTGTTTCTTTTTAAAATATTTCCCAAATGATGTTTAACAGAGCAAGGAAATGTTCACAGTATGTCTGATAATATTTTTTCTTCTGGAGAAAGTCTTATTTGTTTTATTTCGGCTAGAATAAAAGCAGTTTTTAATTTTTTAAACACCATTTTAAACGAACGCTATGAAGCAGTATGACATCAGTACTTTTCACGCTTACCAGCTGACCGCTTATCTCTGTGTGGACAGGTTTCCCGCTGTTACCAGTTTGTTCAGTTGCTAGCTTCGTACGTCGGAGGATTTGAGATGCAGAATGGAGTTGACTATAACGATGGGGTTCGAGTCCGGTAAAGAACAGTTCCAGAAAGCGGGTAAAACAAAAGCAGAAGCAAAAAAATATATACAAACAAGTAAATAACAAGGTGAGAATGTCTGAAAAATCTGAAAATGGGGTAAAAATCAGGCGGCCACAAGGGCTTTTCTTTTTCTGGATTGCTTTTGAAAACACTGTTGGTTGGGTTTAGGGAAGGGGGTGAGTGCTGGTCAATCGGTGCATTTTAAAACACTATGGCAGCGTCCGAAACCGCATACTTCCATACTAAATAGTACGCTAAAATCAGTATGCGAGCCGAGTAGTATGTCCGAATTCATAGAATTCGAAAAACAGTATGCGAGGGGTACCCGGATGACTTACTACTTCCGGCGAGATTCTAGAGTGCGCATCCCATGCACGCTGCGCTATCCCATGATGCCCTGCGAGCGAATTCATGAATGGGAGTAAAGCGACGCAATCGACGCAGGCAGGTCACGTGACCATGACAAAATGGCGGATGTAGTACGTCCAAATTCCAGTCATACTTTTCATGTTCATACTGTATAGAACGCACTTTTCTAACGGCCGAGTAGTACGTTTAAATTCAAATGCAGCACCTACTGAGTAGTAGGCGGTTTCGAACGCAGCCTATCCGTTGGGTTTAAGGAAGCAGGAGGGTGGGTAAGTCGATCTGTCAGTGGACAGCAACCTCTGGTGGATTTACGTGCAGGGCCGGCGCGTCCATAAAGTTGACCTAGCAAAATAGTGAGGGCGGCACCCGCGACAACCCACCCGCCCCAGACATAACCTCCCCCAACACCCCGTCCCCCCATCGGTCCGCACTTTCGTCCGCGACAACGAGGTAGAGGGTGGCGGGATCGTCTTTTGCCTAGAGCGCCAGTTCAGCTTGCTCTAGCACTGTTTACGAGAGAACAGCAGGTGTGAATAGCACTCGCTAGAAAAGATTGTGATCTCAAAAAGCGTACACAGCAGCCTCTGGTGGATTCGCAAAAACAAAAACTGCAAAAAAAAGTACATCCTGGGTTGTATTTGGCGCTCTGCAGAAATGCATACAGGGGTACATAATCAGATTGAGTCTGGGTTGAGTAAATAAGTTTCTTTCTTCTGTTAAACATCTAAAGCAGAAAAAAAACTGAAATCCCGAAACCATTGGCTTCAAAAATAGGAAAAACAAAAACTATGGAAGTCAATGGTTACCAGTTTCCAACTTTTCTCAAAATTTCTGCTTTACCGTTCAACAGAAGAAAGTCAAACTTGTTTGGAAAAAGTGAAGGGCGAGTTTATTTTCATTTTTGGGTGAACTATCCCTTATGCTAAAAAGTAAAAGGCCTAAAATTGAGGCTTGAGGAAAACCCATGCACACTGAGCTCATCTCATACAAACTGTTGACGATCAGTGAGGTAAGATATTAAACCAGGTTAAAACATTCTCAGAAACTCTAAAACAGCAACCACATGATTTAGTAGAACGTAGTATTTAACAGTAAAAGCGGCAAGGAGAATAAAAACAGAGAGGGAGCCATTTTCTGAAGCTAGACTGAAAGATCCTTTACCAGGCCTGGATTGGCTAATCGGGAGGACTGGGAGAATTCCCGGTGGGCCGGTCCGTTTTTTGGCTGCGAGGGCCGGTGTCCCTAGCTCCAGAATCGGTTGCTCTCAGCAGTCACACTTTTTAAAAATAATTTATTTATTTACTTGACCACAGCCTTCTTATTCATTATTTTACCGCAGCTCTGCTTTTTTTATCTATTTTCTCGTAGCCTCGTGATTTAATGATGATATAATTAGATAAGTCACCATTCAACTTACAGCTGTTGTGGTACAGTGGTTAGCACGTTAGATTAATACGCGGCCAACCTGGGTTCGGTCCTTGTCTGAGAAACAATTTTTTTTTATTTTCATTTTTATTGTTAAGACATATAATACTGTTAGGGTTGTGGAACATTTGAAGTTCTAAAAGTGCTGTTTTCTCAAAAATAGACGTGATAGTGTAATTAAAAACTGAATTGGAAATGACCTTATTTTAATATAGTCAGTGGTGAACTGAGGTGGGCCGGTCTGAGGCTTGAAACTCCAGGGCTGAAAAAGAGTCCCACTCCGGCCCTGTCCTTCACTATGAGATAGATGACTGTATAACTGCAAAGCCACAACACGCTCTACAATTTTTGCAAGAAATGTAAGGTGTGATATAGGATGATAATCATTAAAGAGGACTTTATTATGCAAAAATCACTTTTTAAAGGGGTTTAAATAGAGTTGTGTGTCAGCAGTGTGTGAATATAACCAGCATCTAATGGTAAACATGAATTAATTCTGTTTTTTATAATCAGACTTGATGAAAACAGTCTGCAGAAACACTTTGATTGACATTCTCCCTTTGTCATCAGAGGGGGAAAGCCCCGCCCACTAGTGACCATCTCTCCCTCATTAGCATAAACAGCAGCCCTGAGTGAGAAGCAGCCGTCCGTTAGCCTGACTGGCAGAAGCATGAAGCACACACTTGCACTGGAACACACATTTGAGCTTTTTCATACAGATGCCGTTTTGAATCTGCCACTATGCTGACACACAGGCGTTTGTAGCTCCGCCCTCTTTTCAAAAATAGCACAATCTCATTTGAATTTAAAGCGACAGTCACCAAAATTAGGATCGAGGTCTAAAAGGATCAGTTTGAGAAACAATAATATATAATACATTATAAAACATTATTTATGTGGTATATACACACACACACACACACACACAAACACACACACACACACACTCTAGTGACATCAAAGACTTATTTTACATCTTGTAAAAGAATCATAAAAGGTGCTCTTTAAAGTATATAAGGGCAGGGTGTGCTGTGGAGAATAGAGATGAGTTCAACACTAGAGGGTGCAGAGAAGACCAGAAACTCCTGAACTCCTGCAGCAGAGCTCATTCAGACCCAGTGGATTTCAGACCCTTGCCGATACTGACAAACACACATAAAAACACACATTACTGCTAACACTGTCCCTGAATATCAACAATAGGCATAATAGTCATAATAATAGTATTTATAACAAGCACAAAAACAACTAATATATTTCTGAAATTTGTTTTATATTTCAAATATTTCCCAAGTGATGTTTAACGGAGAGAAGATTAACAGAGTAATGGATTTTTCAACACATTTTTAAACATAATAGTTTTATAACTCATTTTTAATAACTGATTTAGTTTATCTTTGCCATGATGGCAGTACATAATATTTGACTAGATGTAATTAAAGACACTAGTATTTAGCTTAAAGTGAGATTTAAAAGCTTAACTAGGTTAATTAGGTTATAGGCAATTGGGGTAATTAAGCAAATCTTTGGACAACAGTGGTTCTGCAGACAATCAGAAAAAATCTCGCTTAAGATGACTAATAATGTTGACCTTAAAATGGTTTTAAAATAAATATTGATGATTCAGCCAAACTAAAAAAAATAAGACTTTCTCCAGATGACAAATACCTAGATGATAAATATAATATGAAATTATATTTCCTTATTCTATATACACTGGGATCATTCATTCATTCATTCATTCATTCATGCATTTTCTTGTCGGCTTTGTCCCTTTATTAATCCGGGGTTGCCTCAGCGGAATGAACCGCCAACTTATCCAGCACGTTTTTTTGCCCTTCCAGCTGCAACCCACCTCTGGGAAACATCTATACACACTCATACACTACGGACAATTTCATTCATTCATTAATTTTGTTGTCGGCTTAGTTCCTTTATTAATCCGAGGTCGCCTCAGCGGAATGAACCGCCAACTTTTCCAGCAAGTTTTTCCTGTGTGGTTTTTACGCAGCGGATGCCCTTCCAGTCGCAACCCATCTCTGGAAAACATCCACACACACATTCACACACACACACACACACTCATACACTACGGACAATTTAGCCTACCCAATTCACCTGTACCGCATGTCTTAGGGTAAAACCAGAGCACACGGAGGCAACCAACGCGAACGCAGGGAGAACATGCAAACTCCACACAGAAACACCAACTGACCCAGGCGTGGCTCAAACCAGTGACCTTCTTGCTTTGGGGGCAATAGCACTACCTACTGCGCCACAGCACAGAACATGTCTGAGATTTTTTTTTTAAATACAATTTACAGGCGGGCCAATAAATCAGTCTTCAACTTTATATCGAGTTAAATATATTGAAACTGTATATTGAATTAAATAATAATGAATTAAACAGTTATATCATTTATTTTCCTCTTATTTACTAATGTCATTCTAAACCTAAATTATTTTTTCTAACACCACAAATCTATTTTGATACTTAAGAACAGGAACGCCGCTGGCCGGCACGGGCTCAATGACAACATTCTTATCGGTTTGATTGGGCCCCCTAATAGTAACTCTGGGGGGCACAAAAGGCCGTGGGCTACAGTTTTTACAATGGTAAAAATGGTAGTTTAATAAACCATGTAGTCATTTGTTTATTATTAGTTACTACAGTAACTATAGACTCGCCACAGAAGATCAATTCAAGTACTTTACTATAAAGCTATGGTCATACTAGAGTTTGTGTGTGCGTAATTCTGTCGTACGGCTCTGCGAAATTGGGCGGGAATAAACAAGATTATAAGGCATTAAAAAGCAAGCGATTGCGCCATATTTTAAATTTCTGTCCAGAGAGGTCATGTTTTGATCTTCGATAGGTCTCATGCAGTCAAGTGATGCGATTTCGCAGGTCAGAGTTCACCAAGCTTGAACTTTGCACCGCAGCGAACTGCGAAACTTAACGCATGACCCTGCGTTTCCGGTTTGACGCATTCGCGTGCGTATGAATGGAAATCCATGGGGAGAAAAGTCAAGTGTGAGCGCAACCTAATTCATTTCCTTCGGCTTAGTCTCTATATTCATCAGGGGTCGCCACAGTGGAATAAACCACCAACTCATCCAAGCGTATGCCCTTCCAGCTGCAACCCAGCACTGGGAAACACCCATACACACTCATACACTATGGCCAATTTAGTTAATTCAGTTCCCCTATAGCTCATGTGTTTGGACTGTGGGGGAGCACCCGGAGGAAACCCACTCTAATACGGGGAGAACATGCAAACTCAAACCAGCGATCTTCTTGCTATGAGGCGACACCACTGAGCCACCATGTCACCCTATTTTACCTTAGTATGGTTAAAAAAACACTATAGAATAATGTTATTTATGTAATAAATAATGCAGTAGCCTATACTATGGCTGCGTCCGAAACCGCCTACTACTCAGTAGGTACTGCATTTGAATTTAAACGTACTACTCGGCCGTTAGAAAAGTTTATTCTGTACAGTATGAATATGAAAAGTATAGCTGCGTCCCAAATCGCATACTTATGCACTATTCTACGCCATTTTGTAGTATAAATAGTGTAAGTAGTGTGTTCACATTGAAAACTCTAAAAATAATAAGTGCACTTTAATTACCCGGATGATGCACTCATTCAGCCGCTAAAAAGAAGTGTGTAATGATGGACACTTCACGCACTCAACGACCGCAGGTTTGCTTACGTAGCGGAAGGGGCGGCGCTATCGGACGCACATGTTGAATAACTTTATTTATTTTGGATGGTGAGAGCAAAATTCTCCTACGAGAGTGATTATAGCGCCTCCCAATGGTAAATGCGGGAATACTTACAGCAGGTATTATTTGATAATTCGGTTGTTTATTTCACTGATTTGGCGACCGTCAAACGTCATCAGAGAAACGATTTGAATTTCCGCTTAGTAAAAAAACATTAGTGTGCCATTTGGGACAACACTGCATATACTATCCTGTTGAGTGTGTAAGTGCATAAGTACATAGTGCATGAGTGCATGGTGTATAGTGTGCCATTTGGGACAAAGCAGCTGAATGGAATTTGGACGTACTACATCCGCCATTTTGTCATGGTCACGTGACCTTCTACGTCAATTGCGTCGCTTTACTCCCATTCATGAATTCGCTCGCAGGGCATCATGGGATAGCGCAGCGTGCATGGGATGTGCACTCTAGAATTTTGCCGGAAGTAGTAAGTCATCATACTGATACTCGCATACTGATTTTCGAATTCTATGAATTCCGACATACTACTCGGCTCGCATACTGATTTTAGCGTACTATTTAGTATGGAAGTATGCGGTTTCAAACGCAGCCGATATGTTTTTTTTTTTGTTCTACTAATGGTGTATTGTAGTATAGCAGGGGTGTCCAAACCCGCTCCCGGAGGGCCGGTGTACTTTAGCTGCAACTTCCTTCAACACATCTCCTTGGAAAATTCTAGTATACCTAGAAAGAGCTTGATTAGCTAGTTCAGGTGTGTTTAATAGTGGTTGGAACTAAAATACGCAGGACATTGGCCCTCCAGGACCAAGTTTGGACACCCCTGTAGTATAGGCTGATATACCCTAGAGCAGGGGTGCTCCACCCTGTTCCTGGAGATCTATTCTCCTGCAGATTTCAGTTGCAACCCATATCAAACACACCTGCCTGTAATTATCACGTGGTGTTCAGGTCTTAATTAATTGGTTCAGGTGTGTTTGATCAGGACTGGAGCTGAACTTTGCAGGAAGGTAGATCTCCAGGAACAGGGTTGAGCAGCCCTGCACTACAGTATTTGTTCATCATTGGTTAACACAGCAACAGAATCAAGACAACACGTTAATTCAAGTGCTTTACTATGGTATGGTTCAAAAACACTGTAGTATTCACTTTACCTTACTAAAGTATTTTATCATGTGGGTTCAGTGTGTGTGTTGCGCGGGTCTCAGGGATTCTTTGCTGGAGGAGTGTGATCTCGGCTCCTCCTCCTATCCAGACCCGCGTCCCGAACTTCCCAAAGTCCCTCCTGGAGTTTCTGGAGACTTTACTTCAGTCATTGCGCGCGCATGAGGAGCAGCAGACGCGGACATGGACACGCGGAGTTTAGTGGCGCTGCTCGGGCTGCTTTGGCGGTGTTGTGGAGCTCCGCAGAGGGGTGAGTGTGTGTGGGTATGTGTGTGTGTGTGAGTTACTGGCGGAGCGCGCGCGCGCGGCCATTGGACTGGAACGAGCGCGCGCCCTCGGAGTTCATGTGGCGTTAACTCTCCTCAGCTTTTGTTCCATAGTAAAGTACACGGTTTTGTTTATGGGCCGCGAAATCACATGATGCCATGTCTGTGTTGGGCTGACAGAACGAGCACTGTGGTGACTTGTGGGAAATATATTTTATTTTTGTTGTTTTGTTCAATCAGTGTTCGCATATTCATCATCAGCTTTACTTCATAATAACCAATAATTGGTCTTTTTCCATCTATCAACGCTGTCTATGCTGTTATTAATCATTTTTGCACAGACCCCCAACTCGAAGACACCGATGATGATTTTATTATTAGGAGTTTTATTTTCCTGTCCTTTGAGGGATTCTGTTAGTTACTCTTTAAATAGTGTACTTTTTCACACACGTTTGTTTGTAAGTTGTGTGTGTGTCTGAGTTTGTGTCTCTGTAAGTGTGTAGGTGTGAGTTTGTGTTGGTCTGTACTGTACGCGAGTATAAGTTTGTATATATGTGTGTGTAGGTATGAGTGTGTGTGTGAGTCTGTTTGTATGTGTGCATGTGTAGGTCTTGTGTAGTCCTAAAAAAAAAAAGGTGGTGTACTACTGCCTACCCAACCTAATTTTTGAATAAAAGTAGGCAAAGAAGTGATGAAAGTCAATGTTTAGCTATAGATACACTCACCGGCCACTTTATTAGGTACACCTTAACAGTAATGGGTTGAACCCCCTTTTGACTTCAGAACTGCCTTAATCCTTCGTGGCATACATTCAACAAGGTACTGGAAATATTGGTCCATATATTTTGATCCATACTGACATGATTTGTCGGCTCTACATTCATGATGCGAATCTTCCATTCCACTACATTCCAAAGCTGCTCTATTGGATTGATATCTGGTGACTGTGGAGACCATTTGAGTACAGTGAACTCATTGTCATCTTCAAGAAACCAGTCTGAGATGATTGGCGCTTTATGTGCGTTATCCTGCTGGAAGTTGCCATCAGAAGATGTGTACACTGGGCTCATAAAGGGATGGGCTAGTGCAGGGGTGGCCAACCCTGTTCCTGGAGAGCCACCTTCCTGCAGATTTCAGGTGCAACCCATATCAAACACACCTGCCTGTAATTATCACGTGGTGTTCAGGTCCTAATTAGTTGGTTCAGGTGTGTTTGATATGGGTAGCACCTGAAATCTGCAGGAAGGTGGCTCTCCAGGAACAGGGTTGGCCACCCTTGGACTAGTGTGTCCAAACCTTTATGAGTCTCTTTTTTTAATTCAAGTCAAAATAAGATACAAATACTATAAATGTGGATGTCATTCATTCATTCGGCTTGTTACCTTATTTATCAGGGGTCGCCACAGCGGAATGAACCACCAACAATTCCAGCATATGTTTTATGCAGCGGATGCCCTTCCAGCCGCAACCCGGTACTGGAAAACACCCATACACACTCACATTCACACACACACACTCATACACTATGGCCAATTTAGTTCGAAGCATCCAGAAGAAACCCACGCCAACATGAGAGAACATGCAAACTCCACACAGAAATGGTCCAACTGGGACTCAAACCTGCTAACCACTGAACCGCTGTGATGGGGATGTCATGGATGTTTTTTCCTCATCATGTTCATCAGAGGAAACTCAAACTGACAAAGGCGGCGGGGAAAAAGATGAGGGTGAATAAATGATATACATTTTTGGGTGAACCGTCGCTTTAAATAATGTTCAGATATACTTCTGTAATAATGAAGCGACTCATTTATTCTGACTCTGCTTGGTGAAACATCAAAGAATAAGCGAGTGATTATAGTCAGTTTGATTCTGTTAGTCTTTTAGTATCATAAAGTAATTTTGTGGTAAACATGCTTCAGGAGAGTTGAAATATTGCCTCCTGTTCACCCAGAAATCAAGTAAAATTTGCTTTACTGTCGTGCCTATTCCTTCAGAAATCATTCTGATATGAAGATTGGATCATTTCTGATTAATATCAGTGTTGCTTCATATGTTCATGTTTTTGTGGAAACTCTTTAATGACTGTGACGTTAAAAAAAGAGCAGCATTTCTTTGAAATCGAAATCTTTTGTAGCAAGATATTAACGCCACTTTTGATCAGTTTAACGTGTCCTTGCTTAATAAAAGTATTAATTTCTTCTTTCAACTCCAAGTGTTTGAAGGGGAATGTGCTGTAGATAGGGAAAGAAAAACATCTTTGTGGTTAGTATTATTATGCACGCTCAGGCTTTGTCTCAGTAATGCCTCTGTCAGAGGAAAAAAAAGAGAGAGAGAGAGATTTCAGAATGCTTGAGGAGGAAAATCAATAGGTAATTCCACCACGCCGCCAATGAATAGGCCAGTCCGATCAGGTCTGACTTTATCCCGGTCTGCGCTGATGAACAGATGCAGAAAGTACGCTCTGATGGATTGTTTTCAATGTTTTACCGATTGCTTGACGTTGATTTGCTTGCGCTCAACATGAATGGCCTCTGGATTTATTTATGTCTGAGCAGGGAAAGCTTTGAGTGTAATGACAGACAGAGAGAGAGGGCGAGCGGGGAGATTAATTCGGTTTGATATTTTCTATTGGATGCAGCATGAGGTTGATGGGGTTGAGGTGCGCTGCTCCATATTTTACACTCCAGAAATGTAACTTTCATTTGGTCTCTCTGCAGTCCTTCACACTCAGCAAAAGCTATTCAACAATTAGACCTTTAGGGCTGCGGTCACTTATCACTGTGACGGCAACATTATAGAGAAGATTTTGCACCGTATTTATCCCTAAAAGGGATTTATTAGTGTATTAGGAGCGTGTACCATCAACTCCGCGAGGCCTGCTATATTATCAAGAACACCAAATGAGGAGACTAAATATTTTTGGTTGAGTGTCACATTTAATACTTCAGGCTTTTATGAAGGATTATGTGTAATAGTTTTGGAGGGAAAAAGAGGACACATTTATTCAGAGAAGAGGAACATCGTTAGAACATCATTCATGGAAAATAAATACGAGATGTTTTAGAGCAGGGGTACCCAAACTCACTCCTGGAGGGCTGGTGTCCTGCATAGTTTAGCACCAATTTCCCTCAACACACATGTGTGGAAGTTGCTAGTATACTTAGAAAGAGCTTGATTAGCTGGTTCATGTGTGTCTAACTGGGGTTGGAACTAAATTCTGCAGGACACTGGCCCTGCAGGACCGAGTTGGGTGTACCGTTTTAGAGGCATTCAGGAGATATTATCAATGTTGAGGAACAGAGAAAGCAAAGGTTCTGGAAAAATAACCTTCCGCAAGTGATTCTAAATATTTTATACGTTCAGAAGATATTTCTAATGTTGGGTAATAAAAAAAGTAAAGGTACTGGAAAATTAACATTCCTCAAAAGATTTCAGATGTTTTATAGAAGCTTAGAAGATCTTGTTCATGTCGAGTAACAAGGAAATTAAATGTCCTCCCTTTCCTCGAAAGATTTTAAATATTTTTGAGATGTTATTTAAAGAGGGTTCAGAGCCATTCAGGAGATTTTTTCAATGTTAAGTAATAAATAAAGTAAATTTAATGGAACATTAATTTTCTTGAATAGATTTGAGATGTTTTAGAGGCATTTAGAAGATATATTCAATGTTGAGGAACAGAGAAAGTAAAGGTTCTGGAAAAATAACCTTCCGCAAAAGATTCTACATATTTGAGATACAATTAGACGATATTTTCAATGTTAGGTAGCAAAAAAAAGTTAATGTTATGAAAAATTAACATTTCTTGAAATATTTGAGAGGTTTTAGAGGCATTTAGAGGAGAGTTTCAATGTTGAGGAAACGGGGAAAGTAAAGGTTTTGGAAAATTATAAAATTATACTAAAAAGATTTCAAATGTTTTAGAGATGTTTAGAAGATCTTGTCCATGTTAAGTAACAAAGAAATTAAATGTTATGAGAAAAACATTCTTTCCTTGAAAGATTTTAAATGTTTTAGAGATGTTATTTGAAAAGGGTTTAGAGATTTATGAGATCTTTTCAATATTGAGTAAAAAAAGAAAGTAAATGCTATGGAGAATGAATTGTAGAATATGAAAATGAATAGATTTGAGATGTTTTATATGCACTTACGAGATCTTTTCATTATTGAGGAACAGAGAAAGTAAAGGTTCTGGAAAAATAACGTTGCTCGAAAGATCTGAGATGTTTTAGAGAAATTTAGGAGAGTTTTAATGTTGAGGAACAAAGAAAATAAAGGTTATGGAAAATAACCTTCCTTGAAAGATGTTAGATGTTTTAGAGGTGTTTAAATGATATTTCCTAAGTTGAGTAACAAAGAAAGTAAATGCTATGGAAAATTAACATTCCTCAATAGATTTGATGTGTCTTAGAGACAATTACATCTTTCCATTGTCGAGGAACAGAGAAATTAAAGGTTTTGGAAAATGTATCTTTCCTGAAAGATTTACAATGTTTTATGTGTTCTATTGTTGTGAAACAGAGAAGATAAAGAAAATCAATCTTCTTCTAAAGATTTGAGTGGATTTAGAGTTATTTAGCAGATCTTTTCAATGTTGAAGAACAGAGAAAGTAAAGGTTCTGGATTTTTTTTTTCCTTAAAGATTTAAAAAGTTTTATTAGTGTTTAGATGCTCCTCACCCTCGTGTCATTCTAAACCCATATGACTTCTCTTCAGTTCTTCATATCGCTTTAAAGACTTGTGCATGTGTGGACCATATGGCTTTTTTACTGTCATCTTTGGAGCTTTTCCAATTAAAGTGAAGCGTTTACTTTTAATTGTATGGAAATGTACCGTGAAGATTTCCACATTTTAAGTTGCAAACAATAAGAAAAGCAACAACACTATGACAGGAGGTTTTGATTATCCACCCCTTTCAGGATGCTCAGATTCTGCATTTGTTCAAGTGCTCTTCATTTTGGAAATGCTGAAATTTGAATGTGGT